AGGCGGCCCTGCTGCAGCTGCGGGTGACGGAGGCCTGCACGTTCCGGCCGGCCGCCCAGCATTCTGGGGAGAAGTGAGGGCCGGCCTGGCGAGGGGTGGGGGCCTGAGCGTCACTGTACTCAGGCCTCCGGCCCCACGCTGACCAAAGACTGTGTCGCCCACACAGCTGCCTACTGTACACCCACCTGCCCCTGGATGGCTTCCCCTCGGCTCCTGGGCTCGAGGCCCTGTGTCTGCGTGACAACAGCCTCCCCCGGCCCGTCTCAACCTCTCCCAGGCACAGGCCCCATGTACATGCCGCGCACATGTGGAGGGGCCAAGCTGTGATCGCTGTAAACCTGGCTTCTGGGGCCTGAGTTCCAGCAACCCTGAGGGCTGCACCCGTGAGTCTACCCAGAGTGGATGCTGGGGCCGGGGGAGAACCCTGGAGGGACAGGGAAGTGAGGGTTGGCCCCACAGGGTCCAGGCCCTCCTGCTCCCTCCCCCACTGTCAGGCCTGCTCTTCCCCTCCCCCAGGCTGCAACTGCGACCCCAGGGGCACCCTGGGCGGAGCTGCCGAGTGCGAGCTGGTGAGTCTGAGGGCCGAGGTGCGGGGGGCCTAGAGGCAGATGCACTGGGACACCCTTCCCTGCCTAGCCCCACCTCCGCCCTCCACCCGCAGGGCAATGGCCAGTGCTTCTGCAAGCCCCGCGTGTGCGGCCAGGCCTGCGCAGTGTGCAAGGACGGCTTCTTCGGGCTGGGCCAGGCCGGCTACTTCGGCTGCCGCAGTGAGTGCCCACCTACTGGGCCCTCAGACCACGTCCTGGGGAGGGCTGAGGCCCGGGGGGGACAGAGGAGTCAAGAGCCGGGTGGGGTCTGGGCATGCGGAGGTCCAGATGTTGGACTGGGACTCACTGAGCTGTGCCGGATGCCTGGCCAGGCCCAGGCTGGGTGTGGGAGGGGCTCTGCTCTCAGGCCCCTCCCCCCAGTCCTGCACCCCAGCAGACATCACCAGTCATTCCTGGTTCCCTTGCCCTGGGCCTGGACTCAGAGCCTCCCTTGTGCAGAGGCCCAGTTGGCTTCTCAGCCCGTGTTGCTCCTGACAAGGTGGACGGAGGCCCCGGGCCTGTCTCCTGAGCCAGGCTGTAGGGAGCACAGAGGCAGGTGAGGGCCAGGCAGCACCGACCTCACTCCCCCGCTCCTGTACAGGCTGCCGGTGTGATGTTGGCGGTGCGCTGGGCCAGGGCTGTGAACCGAGAACGGGCGCCTGTCGCTGCCGCCCCAATACGCATGGCCCCACCTGCAGCGAGTGGGTACCCCATTCCGATTGGTTGGGGGGCAGCAGCCTGTGGGAGGTAGCTGGTCCTCTGGGTTTGTCCCTGGGGATCCTGGGGGTGGTACCGGCCCAGAGCCCGCCCCACCCCAACAGCCTGCGGGCTGCTCTGACGCCCGTGCTGTGGCCAGGCCGGCGCCGGAGCACTACCTCCCAGACCTGCACCACCTGCGCCTGGAGCTGGAGGAGGCGGCCACGCCCGAGGGCCACGCTGTGCGCTTTGGCTTCAACCCCCTTGAGTTTGAGAACTTTAGTTGGAGGGGCTACGCACAGATGGCACCCATACAGGTGGGTGTGGGCTGCCCTTTCCCGGGCACAGCTTACAGTGCGCAGTGGGGCGGGCAGGCCTCTGAGGCCACAGGACCCAGCTGTGAATGGCGGGAGGGTGACCCTGATTTACCATGTCCCCCCAGCCCAGGATTGTGGCCAGGCTGAACGTGACCTCCCCAGACCTCTTCTGGCTCGTATTCCGATATGTCAACCGTGGGCCCTTGAGCGTGAGCGGGCGGGTCTCTGTGCAGGAGGAGGGCAAGTTTGCCACCTGTGCCAACTGTGAGTGCATCGGAGGGCCACTCCCACACCTCTCTCCCCTCCCCACCTTGTCCCAAAGCCCTGCATCCACTCACACCTCCATCCCACCCAGCCCCAGCCCCAGCCCCGACTTGGGCCACGCGTAGGAGGGGAAGCCAGCCTGCCCTGCTGGGCCTGGGAGTGTGGACGGGGTGGGTGTGTCCATTCTTACTGCCCGCCCCCACCCCACCCCAGGCACGGAGCAGAGCCAGCCTGTGGCCTTCCCGCCCAGCACCGAGCCCGCCTTTGTCACCGTGCCCCAGAGGGGCTTTGGGGAGCCCTTCGTGTTGAACCCTGGCACCTGGGCCCTGCTCGTGGAGGCTGAAGGGGTGCTCCTGGTGAGGCGGGGGCTGAGCAGGGTAGCGGGGGGCTGAGTGGGTGGAGGGGCCACAGCGTTCAAATAGAAGCCACTTTGCTACTCGTCATTCATTATGGAGACAGTCGATTTGGGGCCTGCTTGGTGGACATGGTAAGCACCTGGAAATCAGCAATCATTATAATCAGCACCAATTACACCCCCACACAAATGTCCCCGTTTGCATCTGCGCTTTTCCTCAGCGGGTTCATCACATGGGTCTTCTAAGTCAGCTACCAACTGACCGAGGCAACGTCCACTTCCATGACCACTGGCTGTCTGCCAGGGCAACGACGTGCGTGTCCCGGGACCCCACGGGGGGCAGCCGGGGCCGAGGCCTGTGGGGAAGGGTCCCCTTGGCCTGGGGGACGGGGTCCGTGTTGCAGTGAGAGGACACAGGTGCAGGATCCCCTCAGGGCCTCATCTGTGTTGGGCCCCCGCCCTTGGGCTCATTGTGAGGACGTGGCGGGTGGTGGGTTCAGTCTCAAGGCTCAGGCTAGACCTCCGGGCACTGTGCTCTGCAGAGATGAGGCCGGGGGGACGGGGAGGCCAGAGTGAGCAGAGGGCAAGTGACTGCAGTGTTGGGGGGCTAGGCAGCAGGGGTAGAAAGGGCGTGTCCCAGGGAGCGTGTGGGGTCCTGCTCGCCAGGTGGGGGCTGGGCAGGCCCCTGATTGCCTTGCCCCCAGGTGGACGTCCAGCTGCAGGTGGCCGTACCGAGGCCAGGCCGCTATGCCCTGGTGGCGGAGTACGCCAATGCGGAGGCCCACCAGGAAGTGGGTGTGGCCGTGCACACGCCCCAGCGTCTCCCCCAGCAGGGGGCGCTCACTCTGCTCCCCTGCCTGTACAGGTACTCAGGGAGGAGGCGGGAGGATGTGGGCCCCAGGGCTGCTCACCTGCTGACTGCCCCTGCCTCACCCCAGCACCCTCTGCCGGGGCACCGCTCTGGACGAGCAGCACCACCTGGTGGCCTTCCACCTGGGCACAGAGGCCAGCGTCCGGCTCACGGCCCAGCAGGCACACTTCTACCTGGTAAGGCCCCGACACCTCACCTCACGGCCCAGGGCCTCCATGGTGGCCGCTCTCTCAGAAGATCTTAAACCCTCATAAAGGGTGGAGAGGAGAGCCCTGGCCTGTGGCTCGGTGGTTAGAGCGTCAGCCTGCACACGCAAGGGCCTCGGGCTTGATTGCTGGTCAAGGGCGTGCACTTGGGTTGTAGGTTCAATCTCCAGCCCTGGTTGGGTGCGTGCAGGAAGCAGCCAATCGATGTGTCTCTCTCACATCTATGTTCCTCTCTCCCTTCTCTCTCTCTCTCTCTCTCTTTTTCTCTCTCTCTCTGTCTTTCTCCTCCTCCTCCCTCCCTCCATTCCACTCTCTCTAAAAATCAATGGAAAAAGTATCCTCAGGTGAGGATTAACAACATCAAAGAAAGAAGGAGAATGTACTGAGCCCAGGTGCCCGTCGCCAGTGCCACCGTTAGCGCGTGCCCTGTCTCTGTTCTTCCAGAACCCTCTCACCTGCAGGGTTTTTTTTCCTGGGGGCATAACATGTCTATTTACTTACTAATAGCACCATGGCCACGTAAGGAAGTGCGATGCAGTGGAGTAGGAGAGAAAGAAAGGTGATCTTCATAAAAGTCCATTTTCCGGTGCAATTTACCAGAGCAGAGCCCCGTGCGAACAGGGCCGACCCGGGCCTCACAGGGCCGACCGAGGCCTCACAGGGCCGACCCGGGGGGCTCACAGGGCCGGACCCGGGGCCTCACAGGGCCGACCTGGGCCTCACAGGGCCGACCCGGGGTCTCACAGGGCCGACCCGGTGGTGACTGAGCCGTCATCACAGAGCACTGCAGTCCCCATCACTGTGTTGGAGCCAGAAACAGGCGTCAGGGTTTATTCACACAAGGCCAGACAGGCTGGCGTTTGCCCTCTGCGAAGCATCATACGGCCCGTCGCACCCACTTCCCTAGGCCTTTAGGACGTTTTCAGAGCGATAGATGACCGTTGTTATATAAGCGTCCAATACCAACGAGAGCCTGGCCACGGGAAGGGCGGCCTGTGGCCGTGGCAGGGTTGCTCGTCCCTCTTTGTGGAGCCGTGTTTGCCGTGCTAACAGCAGGGACAGCTGCGGCTGCTCCTGGGCTGTCTGCTGGGACCCCATGCGTTGCCCAGCCGTGGACTGGGGTGTGTCCAGCTTTCCATGCACATGGGAGAGCGCCCAGGGCAGCCACCCCCCAAAGGGGCAGCACCCTTACTCTGCCTGTTCAGGGACTTTCTGTAACAATCACAGGGTGCCCTTCTGCTGACCCTGTGGGGACTGACGCGCGCGTTGCCGTGGTCACGCAGCGTTCCTGCCTCTGCTGCGATGTATCTGCTTGGTCATATTTGTCTCGCTTGCACTTCCAACCGCAGTGGGTGGCACTGGGCAGAAATGCCCGCCGTAAACCCATCCCGGGAGTTGGGGGGCAGGCGGTCAACCTGCAGGTGGCAGTGGGGTGGCTGGTGGAGAGGACCGGCCTTGGGGACCACTGGGAGGTGCCCAGGCCCCAGAAACTGCACTCAAGGGCTGAGGTTGTGCAGCCAGAGCGGGAGCTGGCAGAGCCAGGCACGGACTTGGTGTCAAGAGCAGGACTCGGGTTGAATACCCATGTGGACAGGCTCCACCTGCGCACCCACGTCCACGCCTGGCCCTCTGCCCACAGCACAGTATCACCCTGGTGCCCATGGAGACGTTCAGTTTGGAGTTTGTGGAGCCCCGGGTCCGCTGTGTTAGCAGCCACGGGGCCTTCAGCCCCAGCAGGTAGTGGGGCCTGGGAGGGGCTGAGCGGCGGGAGGGGCTGAGCGGCCTGCTGGGCACACTGGCCAGGCCGGCACTCATACCCGTGCCCCTCCCAGTGCCGCCTGCCTGCCCTCCCGCTTCCCGAAGCCGCCCCAGCCCACCATCCTCAGGGACTGCCTTGTTCTGCCATTGCCGCCCGGCCTCCCGCTGACCCACTCGCAGGAGCTCACACCGGGTGCACCCCCATCTGGACCCCAGCCACGGCCCCCCACTGCCGTGGACCCTGATGCCGAGCCCACCTTGCTGCGACACCCCCAGGTGAGGATCCGGCCCGCAGACAGGTGTGGGCGAGGCGGGAGGTGCCAGGGAACCCGTGTCCACACACCTGCCCACTCACGGAGTCTGTCCCTGCAGGGGACGGTGATCTTCACCACCCATGTGCCCGCCCTGGGCCGCTACGCCTTCCTGCTGCATGGCTACCAGCCCGCCCACCCCACCTTCGCCGTGGAGGTCCTCGTGAACGGGGGCCGCATCTGGCAGGGTGAGCGCGTCTGGCAGGGGGGCCGGGGCGGGGTGGGGCTCCCTCATCCACGCAGCCCCGTGTGGTCACCATGCCGTGTGCACAGATGGTGTGTGGCTCCCGTGGCCCGTGGCACGGTGCCTGTCACTTGGCTGTGAGTGACAGGTCTGCACACCCGTCCTGTCGTCAGTTCTCAAATGAGATGCCCCCGGGCCCACCCAGTGTCCAGTGCCGGCAGCCCCGCCTCCCAGCCCCTCCCTGACTCTGTTCCTCACATGTTTTAGGAGTTAGGGGTCACCCGTCACCCACAGGCAATCGAGGGTTTGCTACGGGGCACTTGTTGATGTGTTCTATGTGTTTGCCTGTTTTGTTCCCGCTCAGTCAAGCCCAGGGCCATGGCTGTTCCGAGTAGCGTGAGGGCCTAGTTCCTTCTCCCTGGCGACTGCAGGACGGCCCTGCCTGGAGGAGGCCTGGGGCCCGGGGTTCTGTGAGTGTTGGGGATGACCTGCCTTTTCTTGCCTCTCCAGGGCATGCCAATGCCACCTTCTGCCCACATGGCTATGGCTGCCGCAGCCTGGTGGTGTGTGAGGGCCAGGCCATCCTGGACGTGACCGACAGCGAGCTCACCGTGACCGTGCGTGTGCCCGAGGGCCGCTGGCTCTGGGTGGTGAGTCCGAGGCCGGTGTCCCTGAACCTGCGCACACCTCACTCCTCACACCCGGCCTCACACTTGTCACACCACCAGCAGTCATTCAGCCAGGATGCGTCCCCTGCCTGCCACGGTCTAGCCCAGTGATGGCGAACTGTTTGAGCTCGGCGTGTCAGCATTTTGAAAAACCCTAACTTAACTCTGGTGCCGTGTCACATAGAGAAGTTTTTTGATATTTGCAACCATAGTAAAACAAAGACTTAACATTTTTGATATTTATTTTATATATTTAAATGCCTTTTAACAAAAAAAAGTCAACCAAAAAAATGAGTTCGCCGTAGGTTCGCATGTCATAGGTTCGCCATCACTGGCCTCCTAGCCCGCCAGGGGTCGGGGGCCAGCAGCCTCTGGGGACTTTCAGGTCCCCCACATAAGACTCCAGAGGGGGCCTCAGAGCTCAGATGGTGGCCCAGGCCCTACTGGTCAGAGTGGTCTCCCTGGAGGAGGTGGGGCCAGGGGGTGGAGAGGAAGGGTGCCCGGCAGAAAAGGAGGAAGGGCCCCGGGAGGCTGGGTGCTCTTCCGCGGTGCTGCCTCCAAGCTCCCCGAGCTCCCATTAGGCCACGGAGGCTGGCTTCCCTCTGAGCAGTCAAGGTGGGGCCCATGGCTGGGGTGTGATGCCCCCACTGTCTCAGCTCCCTGGCCAGTGCAGAGGCCCCCGGAATTGAGCTCCAGCGGGCGGCCTGTGGCACGGTCCCCTGACCCGGGCCCTCTGCTGGGCCCATGGGAGGTGACCTGACCCTGGTTCCCTAGGAGTATGTGCTGGTGGTCCCCGAGGACGCCTACAGCTCCAGCTACCTCCAGGAGGAGCCTCTGGACAAGTCCTACGACTTCATCAGCCAGTGTGCCACCCATGGCTACCACATCAGGTGGGCTGGGCTCAGGGCGGAGTGGGGGGCAGGGCAGGGGTTCCGGGCAGGGAGACGGCCTCACCACCTGCTCCTCACCCCAGCCCCACCAGCTCGTCCCAGTTCTGCCGAGATGCGGCCACCTCTCTCTCCCTCTTCTATAACAATGGGGCTCGGCCTTGTGGCTGCCACGAAGTAGGTGCCACCAGCCCCGCATGTGAGTCCTATGGGGGCCAGTGTCCCTGCCGCCCTCACGTCATTGGCCGAGACTGCTCCCGCTGCGCCACCGGCTACTGGGGCTTCCCCAGCTGCAGACGTGAGTACTTCAGTCCACGGGTCCGCCAGCGAGGGGGTGGTGCCTAAACGCAGGGGCTTCCCCCCAGGAAGTGTGGACATTGGTCAGCAGAGCATTGGGCCTGCAGACCAGCCCAGCCACCTCCTGTCTTGTGGGACCTCGGGCAGCAGCGGCCCAGGCTTTGCAGGGCTGTCCAGAAGGTTCTAGGACGGTGATTCCACGTGGTGGCTGACCCCACGTCAGAGCAGCTGCCTGAGGCCAGGGCCCAGAGCTGGGTGGAGCAGGGCCGGGAGGTGGGGAGGGTTGTCCTGGCCTCGAGCCCAGGGCTGCCATCTGGGGCCTCTGTGAGGGGCAGAGGCCACCAGCTGTGCACGCTCCCCGCAGCCTGCGACTGTGAGGGGCGCCTGTGTGATGAGCTCACAGCCCACTGCCTGTGCCCCCC